CTGTGGAGAGAGGGCTTGTCAAAGACTTGTCTCTTGAGAATGCTTGTCTCTCCCTTTCAATCTCCCAACTCATGCTGTTATATAAAACAATTTAGTTCCTACCCATAATGTCTCTTTCAAGCTTCTGACCCAGGAGTGGAGCTCAGAGCGAACAAGTCCCAGTAAGTCCTTGTGTGGGTTTTTAAGAGGAATTGCCTGGGACCCCAGAAGCCTCCATGTTACTCAGCCACAATCCCCACTGGTTTTTACAGCCAGAAGATATGGGGGTTTTCCTCCAGCAACTGGGATCCAGCCTTTACTACAATCAAAGTCTTTACAGGCTTTGTTGACTCTGGCCGGTGTCTGCCAGAGCACCAACCTTGTAGCTCCCTCCACCCCCACCTTTCCCTTCATAGCAGGTGTCCTGCCTTGCCATAGCAGATGATCCATGCCTGAAGGGCTGGGGGCATGGCCGCCATATTTGTCATCCTTATTTGCATATTTCCTCCTAACTGCTGGTTGATGTCGCAGAGGTACAGTCAGTTTACTTGTTTCACTTTTAATAGTGTACATAGTGTTCCATTTGATATTTCCTATACCTCACCTGGCACCATATATAGGTAATACATATTGACTGTGTTTCCTGTGCTTTGTTTACATTTATATCTTCATTACTATCTTGGGTTGTTTTTGTTTGTGTGTGTGGGTTTTGTTTTTGTTTTTTAATTTTTAATCTTTATAGTTCAGATTATTACAGTTGTCACTCTTTTTCCCCCCATAGCTTCTCTCTGATCAGATCCCAACCCACCCTCTGCCTATACCCCTCCCCCACTCTCCTCATCCATAGGTGTACATTTTTTGTCCAGTCTCTTCCCACAATTCCCATACCCTCTTTCCTTCACTGAGAATTGTCAGTCCACTCCCTTTCTATGCCCCTGATTCTATTATATTCACCAGTTTATTCTATTCATCAGTATTTTATTCACTTGATTTTTAGATTTACTTCTTGATATGTATTTGTTGTTCATAATTTTTATCTTTTCCTTTTTCTTCTTCCTCTTCTTAAAGAATACTCTTCAGCATTTCATATAATACTGGTTTGACAATGATGAACCCCTTTACCTTTTTCTTATCTGTGAAGCTCTTTATCTGCCCTTCAATTCTGAATGATAATTTTGCTGGGTAGAGTAATCTTGCTTGTAGGTTCTTGCTATTCATCACTTTGAATATTTCTTGCCACTCCTTTCTGGCCTCCAAAGTTTCTGTCGAGAAATCAGCTGACATTTCTATGGGTACTTCCTTATAGGTAACTGTTTTACTCTTGCTGCTTTTAATATTCTCTTTGTCTTTTGCTCTTGGCATTTTAATTATATTGTGTTTTGTTTTGGTCCTCTTTGGATTCCTCTTGTTTGGGGTTCAGTGTACTTCCTGGACTTAAGAGTCTGTTTCTTTAACCAGGAGAGTGATGTTTTCTGTCATTTTTTCAAATAGGTTTTCAGTATCTTGCTCTCTCTTCTGTCACCCCCATAATTCTGATATTGGTATGCTTGAAGTTGTCCCAGAGGCTTCTTACACTATCTTCATATTTTTGGATTCTTTCTTTCTCGTTGGGTGATTTTTGCCTCTATGTATTTCAAATCTTTGACTTGATTCTTGCAATTCTCTCATCTGCTGTTAAATATCTGTATATTATTTTTTTAAGATATATATATATATATATATATATTTTTTAATATATTTTATTAATTTTTCACAGAGAGGAAGAGAGAGGGATGGAAAGTTAGAAACATTGATGAGAGAGAATCATCAATCAGCTGCCTCTTGCACACCCCCTACTGGAGATGTGCCTGCAGCCAAGGTACATGCCCTTTACCAGAATCGAACCTGGGACCTTCCAGTCCACAGGCTGATGCTTTATCCACTGAGCCAAACTTGTTTCGGCTGTATATTATTCTTTATTTCAGTTAGTGTATGCTTAATTTCTAGTTGGTCCTTTTTCATATCCCTGAGGGATTCACTAAATTTATTGACATTTTCTAGAAACTTTTGAAAAACCTTGTAACCTGGATATGGTTTTGATCTCCATATCCAGTAGTTTTCTTTCCTCCATTCCCTTCATTTGTGACCTGTTTCTTTGTCTCCACATTTTTGCTGCTTCCCTGAATTGATAGAGTGACTTTGTGTGCTAGGTGTCCTATAGGGCCCAGTGGCTCAGCTTCCCCAATTACCTGAGGTGGACACTCTTGGTGCACTCTTTTATGGGCTGTGTGCACAGTTTTGTAGTTAAGCCTTGAATTGATCTCCAGGCCAATTGGCTGTGAGGATCCTCTGTGACTATGGGAGAACTTTTGTGCTGGAGACACCTTTATGGGGCAGGACTTGCTTCAGTGAGGCTTTGATACTCACTGAGCCTGCCTCTGAATTTGTCTCTTTTGGATCTGAGGAGTTGTAACCTGGCTGGTTCTACTCTTAATACCTGTGTACACTGGCTTTTGGATCTCCAAAGAGGTGCAGATTTAGCTCTGCCTGCGGCTACCCAGCAGGAGCTATGGAGAGATCTGCAGATTCCTCTTCTTATTTTGATTTTGGAGGTGCCCAGATGAGGCCCAGATGTGCAGCAATGCAAACTGCTGTGTGCCCTTGGGCCTTCTTTTGGATGTTCTGGATCTCACTGACTCAGCTGCAGTTTGTTAGGTAATTTTAGATCGAAAGGAACCAGCCATTCATGAGCAAAAATCCTCTGTGCACAGCTGGGGTGGAGTTGTAAGTTGGATTGGGCGGGGTCTCAGGGTATCATCAGGGCAAAGCAAACAGCAATGGCTGACTTTTAGCCCTGCCCTAAGAAGTCCCTGGGTCTTAGTGTCCCCTGGTAATCGCTGAAAGCAGCTCTGAGAAAAAATTACCTCATATTCCAGCCTGATGCCAGACAGTCCATCTTCTCCCTGTATGAATTTCACCCAGAACTGGAGGTCAGAATAGTTGGGAGCTTGTTTCTTCCTCCTGAGCATACTCAGTTACCAGTCCTTTCCGAACACACACGTGTTACTGTACCTCTGCACTTCACTTCTGAACTTCCTTTTAGCCTCAGTGTGCCTTTCTTTTCCCTTTTAGTTGTAGAATTTCCACTCAGCCAGCCTTCCTGGGGTTCTGGATGATGTCCATTTTGTCTTTTTGTTATAGTTTTGAAGTGGTTGTGCGAGATAGCAAGTTCATGTGTTTACCTATGCTGCCATATTGTTTTCTCCTCATTACTACTGTGTTTCCCTGAAAATAAGATATCCTCCGAATATAAGACCTACTTACAGGTTTCCTTCTGAGTGAAATATAAGGCAACCCCCCAAAAATAAGCCCCCCCCGCCCCAAGAGAGATTTGGTCCACTGATTCTGAAAGAAATGGAGTCACAAGAAATTCACCAGGAAATTCAGGAATTGAATTGTGAGGATGCTGTTCCAGAGACGATGACATGATTGTCATTGAATAAATGAGTAAATTCTTGATACTGTAGGATTCTCAGTTTGTCTGGTTTGTTTTGACAACTACCGTACTACCATACCGTATACAGGTAATAAATTTTCTTTATTTTCATTTAACAATAAATGTGTACCATATTCTTCCTCATGGAAAAATAAGACATCCCCTGAAAATAAGACCTAGTGCAATCTTAGGGAGCAAAAATTAATATAAGACACTGTCTTATTTTCGGGGAAATGGTATTTTGTACCTATCAGTTTGTACTTCCTTATTTCTTCACCACACCCCTAAACCCTTGCCTTTGAGCAACCACTGATTTACTCTCTGTTTCTATGGGTCTATGTCAATTTTGCATCTCTGTTTATTCTCTTCTCTAGATCTCATATATAAGTATAATAAAATGATATGGTATTTGTCTTTGACTTGTATTGTTTTTTGTAACACCTGCTCATCATTTAATCTTTAATGAATAAGTCTATATATATCCTTGCTGGAAACATTCTATTCCCTTGTTTTAAAGAGCAATCCAAAGATTAGATTAGCTGCTCCATCTGGTAGCTTATTGGAAATGCAAGTTTTTAGCTTAGTCTTTAATCTAGTGTGCTAGAATCTGAATTTTAATACAGTCCCACTGTTTTATATGCACATTACAGCTTGATAACTATTGCTTTATAGCACACTACAGTTGTGTTTGATTAATTTAGTTTTCTTTAATGTTTTTTGGGGGGCATGAGGAGGGGTTAATTGTAATTATTCTTCAGACACTGCTTTTCCTCTCCAAATGACTCATTTTAAAAAGTGGCTAAATGTGAATATTTTAGGGGCATTTGCAATGGAAACGCCAAAAAATATCTTTTTAAATGCAGAGTTTTTGGACTTAATATCAGATCTATCAGTCTTTAGGAGATATAACTACCTTTTAAAAAAACCAAGTAAGTAATCAGTGTGAAGGGAAGCAATTACACTACAACTTTATTTTTTTCTATTTTTCTCCCCCCTTCCTCCTTTTCCTCGCTTATTAAAATTAATTATACAAGCAGTTTTTCCAGGCTGTTGGTTAATCATTACTTAGTCACTTATGAAAAACTAGAGGCCTAAAAAAAAAAAAAGAAGAAAAACTAGAGGCCTGGTGCCATGTACTTGGGGGGATGGGGGGGGGGGGCGCTCCTCAACCCAGCTTGCACCCTCTTGCAGTCCGGGAGCCCTTAGGGGATGTCCGAATGCCACAGAAGCACTGCCACAAAAGTGGGAGAAGCTTCCACCACCACCGCTGCACTTGCCAGCCATGAGCCTGGCTCAGGGCCTCTGGCTGAGCAGAGCTCTTCCTGTAAGAGTGCACTGACTACCAGGGGCCAGCTTCTGCATTGAGCATCTGACCCCTGGTAGTCAATGCACATCATAGCAATCAGAGGTTCTGCTGTTCTGTCAATTTGCATATTATCCTTCTATTATATAGAATGATTTCTACTTAAGTCCAAGAATATGTTGGGAATTTAGAGAGTTTGTAACAGTTAAGTGAGATTTTCCTTAATGTGTTTAATTTTAAAGTAATTTGCTAACCAATTGATGTATTTTGGCAAAGCCAATTTTAAAAGGTATTTGTTTACCTTTAAGGATAACAAAGCTGATGTAATTTTAAAGTACAATGCTGATGAAGCTAGAAGTCTGAAGGCATATGGCGAGCTTCCAGAACATGGTAATGACAAAGTTATGTTTTCCGTGTTATAGTATTGCTAGTTTGTTGGTGTTTTGGTGAAGCAGTTTTGATAGAATTGTCTTATTTTTCATGTATGTACTTAACAAAAATTAGTTTTAAGAATAGCAATCTATACTTTTTAGCATTTATACAATAGTAATAACATTCTGTTTCTAGTAAATGTTCTTTTGATCGGGAGTTTAAAAGTTTTAAGCTCTGAGCTTGTGTGTAATTATTTTTTTTTTAGAAATATATTTTTGGTAATTTTTAGAGAAGAAAGGGAGAGTGGGAGAAAGAGAGAAATATCAATGATGAGAGAGAATCATTAATCAGCTGCCTCCTGCATGCCCTGGGCATGTGCCCTGACAGGGAACTGTGACTTTCTAGATTAGGGGTGTCGAACTCAATCAGAGAAGGGGCCAAAATCTAAAATCCAGCCTAAATCGCGGGCTGAATGGTTTACTGAACAGTCATAAACTGTCATTGTGATGGAAACACAACAGAGTGCAGTGATGACAGCGCGGTGCGGGCCACATTGCAAGGCCTGGCGGGATGGATTTGGCCCGCGGGCCTTGTGTTTGACACATGTGTTCTAGATCATAGGTTGACACTCTACCACTGAGCCATTCTGGTTGGACTATATATAACTTCTGTTAAGGAAGTACATTTTATTTATTGTTTTTAACAGTTCTTAAAAGAGATGTATCAGTTTTCAGGTATATTAGGGCAACAATTATGATACTAATATTGGATTTATAGGAAACAGTGGTCAGTATATCTTAGCATATTATTTTATAGAATTTCTATTTTTTAATTTAAAAAAATCCTCACCCAGTGATATGTTCATTGTGTTAAAAGAAAGGGAGAGTGTGAGGGAGGGATAGCAAGAGAGAGAGAAATATTGATGAGAGAGAAACACATTTATCAGCTCCCTCCAGTATGTCCTGGACCTGAGATTAAACTCACAACCTGGGTAATTGCCCTAATTGGAATCAAACCTGCAACTCTTTAGGTATTGGGTTGCAACCAACTACGCCATATTGGCCAGGGCTGTGTGTACTTTTTAACAGATATTTCTTTTCTTTCTTTTTTTATATTCACCCAAGAATATGTTTTTTGACTTTCGAGAGATGGAAAGGGAGAGGTAGGGGCAGAGGATGGGAGAAAGGAGGAGAGAGAGATAACAGTGTGAGACAACATCAATTCGTTGCTTTCTATACATACCGTGACCTGGGATCAAATCTGCAACCTTTTGGCATATGGATGAGCAGTGTTGGCCAGAGTTATTTTTATCCTAATGGCTACTTAAAAATATATAGTAAGTTCCTTAAGAGAAAATGTACTATTTCTACAGCCACATTTTTTACTTTACAGCTATTTTACTTACTTGTTTTACTTCACTGCATTTTGTAATGAAAATATAAGATCTTTACATAAGCATGAAAATTTTGATAAAATTTTTTTGTATTTAAAATATCAGACCAGGAACTGGGGGAGATAATAGATCAACTGAAGGACTTGTATACATGCATATAAGCACAACCAATGGACATAAAGCTCTGGGGAGGGAGGGGATGTGTGGGAGGGAGGGAGGGGGAAAAATCAATAAAATATGTAAAAATAAAAAAATAACAAAATAAAAATTTTTATTTACAGAGAACATTTTAATGGTGGCCAGATGGGAGGGTTTTGAGGGATGGGTGAAAAGGGGGGAGGAATTAAGTAAAAATTGCTAGTTATAAAATAGTCATGGGCATGTGGAGTACAGCATAGAAAATACAGTCAGTAATAGTGTAATAACTATGTGTGTGCTGTGAGATGAGTATTACATTTATCAGGGTAAATTACTTCGTGAGTTACATAAATGTCTAATCACTGGGCTATACACCTGAAACGAATATAAAATTGTATGTTAACTGTAATTGAAAAATAAAAAATTGTCTTTAAAAAAAAAATATCAGACCAGTATTTTCTCTTTCAGTTCTGTTTCTTAAAGCAGCAATTTTCAACCATTGCCTCAATAATTTTTAAAACATACAGTATTTACCTGAGTATTTTAGTCAGGGTATTGACCTGTTTTCCACCAAATTGTCAAATTTAAGAATAACAGCAGCTCACACACTAACTGTCTAGTATGAATGAATTAAAGTTATACCTTTTATTGGTCATATTGGGAAAAATACATATTTTTTGGTATACTGCAGCATTTTAGTAATTAGGTATGAAAAAGGTTGAAAATTGCTGGCTAAGGGGATAAGCATAGCTTGACCAAGATTTTTTAAATTGATTTGCTAAGTCTTTCAAATAGTTGGTGAATGAGTTATTCTTAGTTAGGAAAACTTCACATGCACCATGTTTTCAATTACATTTTGAGGCTAATTTGGGAAGTGCAAGATTTATGTTAGTGTGATTAGAACTTGCCTTTCTTATAATACCTTTCTGAACAAAGTAAGACTGTAGTACATATATTCTTCATTATAATTAATGAACTCTGGGAGTTTTGTGAATTTTCTTTGTGTTGAATTCTTCGAAGTTAGAAAGATAATTTGTATTGAAATAGGACTTGTAAAAGTGGCCTTCTATTATTTGATATTTTGTATCAGGCCCATTTCTTTTAATCGGTAATTTCTCTGATAACACCTTTTTAACTATATACATATATATATATATATATATATATATATATATATATATATATATATATATAAACTATATTTCTTTTTGTATCTTTAGCTAAAATCAATGAAACAGATACATTTGGTCCTGGAGATGATGATGAAATTCAGTTTGATGACATTGGAGATGATGATGAAGACATTGATGATGTAAGTAGTAGATAAACCCTGTTGGGTTTGTTTTATTGATGTACAAGGAAATCAGATGTTTCCCCTAACTTCCTTTAATCTAAGAATGTTGCACACTTAAATTCCGTGTATCTATAAGATTGTTCATGAATCTGAATATTCATTAATATTTAGAAACCAGCTAGTTTAACTTTTTATTCTTTAAGAAACTTTATAATCCTTTGAAACATCTCTTTCTAAAATGATCAGTATTAGTTTTGACAAATGGTAGTCCATAATGATAATTCATTTAAGAGTATCTACAGTTATAGTTAGAAATATAGCAAATTATTTTGAGAATGTCTTTTCTTAAATGAAATGTTAAAAGAAGAATCTTGTTTGAATCCATTTGCTGAAGCATTAAAATTGTAAATTACTTCAAAAATCTTATTAAAATGGAGGCATCTTTGATCAAAGTATATATTGAGATTACACTGTTCTTATTGGTCACATTTTTGCTTTGTAGTATATATGTGTTTATATGTGAAAATGTTCCCATCCTTTCCGTTTCCTGTTTCTGAATATGCTTTAAAATGTACATAACATTAGGAACTAATGTAATAAATATTAACAGATGAAAAGAGGAATAGATGTGAATGATCATGTGTAGTTTTTAAACTATACCCTTGTGGTAGATATTTTGGTATTCTCTTGAATTTTAAGTTCTTTTAACTCCTCTGAATGTCTGAAAATACTATTAATAAAAATGTAAGTTATTGAAAAATCTGGAGACTCCTGTTCTATAATAGATCAGTGACTTCCAATCACTTGTGGTGCCCCACTTAGACTTTCCCAAGGCCTTGAATTTTTGAAAAGCTGTGTTAATTTTGCTGCACAACCTTTGTGCTACATTTTCTAAAATTCCATTTAAGTATTTAAACACTCATATTTACTTAATTTGAAGAATATTGCAAATTTAATTTTAAATAATAGTTGCTATGTTCTTTTTTCTTTTCTTTTTAAAAATTGTTGACACTGCCGAAACCGGTTTGGCTCAGTGGTAGAGCGTCGGCCTGCGGACTGAGGGGTCCCAGGTACCATTCCGGTCAAGGGCATGTACATTGGTTGCGGGCACATCCCCGGTAGGGGGTGTGCAGGAGGCAGCTGGTCGATGTTTCTCTCTCATCGACATTTCTAGCTCTCTATCTCTCTCCCTTCCTCTCTGTAAAAAATCAATAAAAATATATATTTTTTAAAAAATTGTTGACGCTGCCCTGGCTGGCTTGACTCAGTGGTTAGGGCATCAGCCTAAGCACCAGAAAATTGTGGATTTAATCCCAGCCTGGGTGAGGGTGTGTGCAGGAGGCAACCAATCAATGTATTTCTCTTTCTCTCTCCTCTACCATTTACTCTAAAAGAGAAGGGGGGGCGGGGGGTGCGGAAGGTCAGTGGAAATAATATACTTGGGTGAATATTAACAAAAAGGAAAAAGAAATTGATACTGTTACAGGTGCCCTCCCCCCTCCTCCCCACCTTTGCCTCCTTAAAGCCCCCATTCTGCAGGCCCTCACCACATTTTTTATCTGTATTCATGGGCTATGAATATGTGCATATGTGTTTTTAGGGTAATTTCTTCCAGCCTCTCCCATGCCCTTTGACATTATTATTATGTTTAGATTTCTGGTTTTTAAACTATAACTTTATACAGATGTATTAAAAAAGAGCCTAGCCGAAACCGGTTTGGCTCAATAGATAGAGCGTCGGCTTGGGGACTGAAGGGTCCCGGGTTCAATTCCGGTCAAGGGCATGTACCTTGGTTGCGGGCATATGCCCCACAGGGGGCAGCTTGATTTTTTAAAAATATTTTATTGATTTGAGAGTGAGAAACAGATTTGTCTTCCCATGCAGTCATTGGTTGCTTCTTATATATGTCCTGGCCAGAAATCGAACCCTCACCTTGGCATCTTGGATGATACTCTAACCAACTAAGCTCCCTGGCCAAGGCCAGTTTGATTTTTAAGGGGAGGCAATTCGAAAATGAGTTATTAACAGTGAATTTTTTGCATTTAAGGTTCTAGTGCCTCAAATACAGTATATAAATATATAGTGACATGTTTATGCATTTCAGTTCTCTATGTTTTGAGACTTTATTTTTTCATATTCATATTTTTTAAACAATTTCTTAGTGATTTCTGCCTCAGTACTTCAACTGTTCTTCATTCTTTTATTTTTCTCTTTCATGGATGCTATGTTGTTTCAAAACTTGTGTAAATCAGCCAAAACCGGTTTGGCTCAACGGATAGAGCGTCGGCTTGGGGACTGAAGTGTCCTGGGTTCGATTCCGGTCAAGGGCATGTACCTTGGTTGCAGGCATATCCCCAGTAGGGGGTGTGCAAGAGGCAGCTGATCGATGACTCTCTCTCATCGGTGTTTCTAACTCTATCTCTCTCCCTTCCTATCTGTAAAAAATCAATAAAATATATTAAAAAAAAAAAAAACTTGTGTAAACCAAGTTTTATGGCCTTTTAGGCTTCCTCCACATGAATGGGAGTTCACTTTTTGAATAATAAGAATTATGTGTCACAGTGGGAGGAGGAGCATCAGGATTTTAGAAATCCTTAGATGGGTATGGCCAAAAAAAATTGGGAACTACTGTTCTAGTTTATCTTAGGTTTTTGTTCAGTAGAATGTTTATTATAAGAATTATTTTAACATGAATCTGATGTTCTTTTCACTTGCAGATCTAAACTGAATTTAAAGTTTCAGAGTATTTGTTCCATGGTTTGGATTTTGGCCATCACCTGTTAAGAAGACTAAAACTTCAGGATAATTGCAGTTTGCTAAGACACTGATTTGTTTTCATTGTTTTTAAGTCTTTATTGTTCTCTTTAAATGAGCTGTTAACACTTTATTCTTTTGATGCAATGGAACTTAGGGATAAAAGATCACAAGCTCTACTGTTAAAACATAGTAAAGAGGGGGAGAGAGAATGGATAAAGTAAATGTTTTCCAGTTAATGAATGTTTTGACTAAATTGTTTTATCTTTATGGTCAGTGGTAAGTCCTAGTTCCAAGTAATTTTTTTCAGTCATTCAGTATGTTACCTAGATATTCTCTTTAATTTTTGATAAAAATTTGAGGAAGTTAAAAATTTACATTTGAAGTTAAGAAAAGGGGCTATTTTTTAATATTTCTATAGCTGGGTACTATATTTTCAACTAAGATAACATTCTTTTCATCATCTCATGCTGTCTTAAATACCTAGCATTTATAAACTGCTTATTTTAGAACTTGAGCATGAGTAGCAATTTTTAATTTATAAGATGAATAGTTGCAAAAATTCACTGCTAGATAGTAACTCAAAATTGGAACTACTGATATACTAGTCGAAAGTGGTTTTTTTTTTTAACCTTATGATTACAAATTTTCTTAAATATCATAAGACAACTTTTAATGGTAAATAAGAACAGTTTGTACTATACTAAAAAGTTGTTAAAACATGTCATTTTATTTTCAAAACTCATGCATTTGTAACCTATAGTTTAGGGCTTTATGAACAATTAAATTACAATGTATAAATGAAAAATTATTTTTATAATAAACTGGTATAAGAAAAAGGAAGGGACCACAGCTAAGAAATATAATAAAATGCCCATTGGGTATATTTTGGCCTTAGTTTGTGTTACTGGTGTATTTTTCTGTGTATATTTTATTAGAAATTTATATTATGACCTTTCTTTTTAATATTTTGTTCATTTTGAAAGTTATAGTAAAATGAATTAAGGAGGAGCTAAATATTATAGCAACCACAATTAAATCTTATATAATGGGATACAACAGATTTAAAAAAAATATATTTTATTGAGTTTTTACAGAGAGGAAGAGAGAAGGATAGAGAGTTAGAAACATTGATGAGGGAGAGACATCCATCAGCTGCCCTTGACCGGAATCGAACCTGGGACCTTTCAGTCCACAGGCCGATGCTCTATCCACTGAGCCAAACCAGTTTCAGCTACAAAAGATTTCTTAAGTGGTTTAGAAACATCACTTTTTTCAGAGGGCATTTTCAGTAGAGAAAATTAAAGGAAATGGCTTTTCCTGGTTTTTATATCCTACATAATAAAAGGCTAATATGCAAATCACAAATCAACCATATGGCAGAATGACCAGTCACTGTGACATGCACTGACCACCACAGGGAATATGCTCAATGCAGGGGTTTCCCCTGTTGGTCAGTGCACTCCCACAGGAAGAGTACCACCCAGCCAAAAGCTGGGGTCATATCTAGTGAGCACAGCGGTGGTGGTTGGGCCTCCCCTGCTTCACAGCTGTTGGACACCCCCTCAGGGCTCCTGGGCTGCAAGAAGGTGTGGGCTGGACTTAGTATCCCCCTTTCCCACCTTTTCTCTCCCACTTCTTATGTCATGCACTGGGCCTCTAATATATAATTACACTAGAAGCCCAGTGCATGAAATTCATGCACTAGGGGAGGGAGTCTTTTCGCTCAGCCTGCCCACTCTCACAGTGGAGAGCCTTCAGGGAATGTCCTAGTAATGGCTTAGGCCTGCACCCCATGGAACATGCCCTTGATTATAATAGAACCTGGACCCTGCAGTTGGCAGGCCAAGCTGTCTCTCCACTGAGCCAGACCCACTAGGGCAGGATATGACATTTCTTAGCCCCTCCAGCAGTGAACCTTTGTTTTTTCCTCCAGGAGTGAGGTGGATCACCTTCTTGGATTCTTATAACCCAAGTTACCAAGAACACTGCCAGTGGTGTACAGGGAGCTTAGCCAGTGAGCTGTCAGAAAAGTGTTTCCCCTGCAGCTCATATGCAGAGGCCCCCTGTGTGTGTCCACTGGTGTGGGAGCATGCTTGGAGCTGTGCTGGTCATGACTGTTAAGACTTGGAGCCAGTCGTGACTGTTAAGGAATCCCAGACAAATTTGCATATTACCACTTTATATATACTGTATAGGTATGTAAAGAACAATGAGCAGGATTAGAGTCTAATATAATATATAATGTATTAGATTCTATATAATATATAATATCTCTATAATATACTAATATCTCTATACTAATATACTAATATATAATATCTCTATAATATACTAATAGAGATATTATAGTGTGTAATATCTATAGTATATATAGGTATTATATACTATAGTTTGCCCTTAGTAGCAGGAAGTAAATTCTGAGACCCCAGTGGGTAGTACTAAACTTTATATCAACTACATTTTTAAAAAATATATATTTGTATACACACACACACACACACACACACACACCACTGACTGGCCAGGTTATTATGACCATTTAATGTTTATTATTACAGGTAAACTAGCTGTAATTTTGTGCTGAAGTTGCTAGAGGGCCAGACCATTATAAATAGGGAAGCAGGTTGTTTACTACGACAGTAGAAATGATTTTTTCTGAAGAAATAATTTTTTCTGAAGATATGGGCAAACAACATGAATTAACAACAGCCTTTGAACGTGGGGTGATTGTTGGTGCTTAGAGCCATGGAGCAAGTTATCAGCAAAACAGCTGAATTTCTTGAATGTTCAAGAGCAGCTGTTGTTAAAGTGTTTAAAGACTGGACTGTTAGTCGAAAATCTGGGTCTGAACATGTGAATTGTGGTCATCAGCGACTGATCAATGTTAGTACAGAACGGAGAGTGGCAAGATTGGTACAAGACAACAGAAGGGTAACAGTGCATCAAATTACTGGAGTTCTTAATCCTCTCAAATGATCTCTGAACGCACTATATATATGTGGTTTGTGTGTGTGTGTATACATAATAAACACACCGAGTGGCCAGATTATTATGACCACCTGATATTTGCAGGCAAATTTGCTATACAATTTTATTGAATAAAAAGCCAAAGGCCTATTCCAATATTTTTGCTATCTGCAATTACTAAGATAAAACTCTCCAGTTCACACAGGAGCACAAGGATTAGACAGTCAAACATTGGAAAAAAGTCACATGGTCCAATGAACACATTTTCAGTTGCAGATGGTAGGTTGAGAATTTTGCAGAAAACATGAAACCATGCACCCACAAGCATGAGTACAACCCTTCAAGGTAGTGTTATAGTTTGGGTCATGTTTTCCTGGCATGATTTAGGCCCTTTAATTCATATGGAACATCTGAATAGCACAATAGGTCTAAGTATCATTGCTGATTAAGTTCATCCTATCTGGACCAGTGGATCGGCCTCCAGAGGTGCCTGACCCTTTGTGAATTGTGTGTACAGCCTTGTTGTAGTTAAGCCTTGATTGCTGTTGGTATCACTGGAGGAATTGACCCCCTATCATGTTGATGGCATATCCCAGTGTAGATGGCTTCCTCCAACAAGACAATGCTCCATGCCACGGTGCTCATATTGTGCAGGAGTGGTTTCAAGAACATGAGGGAGACATTACCTTGCTTAGGTGGCCCCCACCATCACCAGATCTCAATCCAACTGAGCATTTGTGGAACGAAGTTAAAAGAGCCATCAGGCAGCTGGTTCCACAAGCATCCAATCTCACAGAACTGGACAGTGCTATTTATCAGGCATGGTGTCAGATTTCTCCATCACCTTTCAACATCTCTTGGAGTCAATGCCCAGAAAAGATTGGCTGCAGTATTGAAGGTGAAAGGGCCCATCGAACTATTGACGGGATGGTCAAAACAATCTGGTCACTCAGTGTATATATATATATATATATATATACAGTGTATATATTAGAGGCCCAGGGCAAAAAAGTTTGTGCACTAGTAGGGTCTCTAGTGGCAGCCAGTCAGGACCTCCTTCCCTTCCCCTGGCCGACGTACTCCCTGGTCAAATTCCTGATTGAGGGGACAATTTGTATACTACACTTTTATTGTAGGACTAGAGGCCTTGGGCATGAAAATCGTGCATGGGGTTCCCTCAGCCCAACCTGCATCCTCTCCAATCCAGGAACTCTCAGGGGATTTTCCACTAATGGCGTAGTTCCACTCCCCATAGTTATCTGCTCTTTTTGGGATCTGGGGGCTTCACCACAGCCATAGATATGAAATCCTAATGTCCTGCTGTCTGCTCTCTATCTACTATCGCCATGTGAACAAAGCCCCAATATGCTGCAGTGTGCTCTGTCTGCCAGGCCTGGGGACTTCACCTATACAGACACACTAAGGAAGACCCCATGCCCTAGCTGTCCAGGCTGTGTCTGCTAGGCCTGGGGGTGTTCCCACCATTGCCATCTAAGGAAGCCCACAAGCCCTGCTTTCCAAACTCTGTCTGCCATGTCTAGGAACAGATTTAGCCTCGCTGCTTGGTCCCCACAAATCCTGGGCAGGCTGAAAGGCCTGAGGGGACTGGGTGCTGCCATCTTGTGGCTATGGGTGCCACCATCTTTGTGATGGAGTGATGGTTGATTTGCATATTACTCTTTTATTATATAGGATACTTACAAATGCCCTGGGGCACAGATTCATGTATATTGAAAGTAAATTAGAGGTAGAAACCAAGATGGTGGCATAGGTAAGCACCTAAATAGCTGCCTTGCACAACAATTTCAAAACTACAACAAAAAGAACGGACATCATCCAGAACCACAGGAAAGCTGGCTGAATGGAAATTCTACAATTAGATGGAGCTGCAAAGGGCTGAGGTAAGGAAATGCATGCACAAAGAGGAAGGGTGCTAGCTTTCTCTGGCAGAAGCCTAGCTTTTTCTGGCAGAAGGAAGAAGGAAGCTCTGACTGCACTGAACCCCAGTTCTGGGCAAGATCCTGTGTACTTAGGCTCATACGGGGGAGTCTGGATTGTCAGAGAGAAGGCACACAGAGATTCGGGGGAGCTATGGAGGGCAGTGGTCTGAGGCGCACGCAAGAGGTTGCTGGCTTTCCCTAGCAGGAGGGAGTCAGAAGCTCCCAACTGTGCTGAACCTCAGTTACAACTGCACTGAACCCCAGTTTTGGGTGAGCTCCTTGAAACCCAGGCTCTTAAATGGGAATCTGGACTGTCAGGTGGAAACTTAGGGGAGCTGCAAAAGTCAAAGGTCTGGAGGCACACATGCAAGTACACAGAGAGGACTGATTCCTGAGTGCGCTGCTGGCTTTCTCTAGCTGGAGTGAACTGGAAGCTCCTGATTGTGCTGAACTCCAATTCCAGGTGAGAATCTGAAAATGCAAATTCATTGGGGAAGAAACTCGACTGTCTGGCAGCAGGCGAAATTCGAGGGTGGCTTTCTCTCAGAGGTGTTTTTCAGCGATTACCAAAGAACACTTAGACACAGGGGCCTCCTATGACATCGCTGATGGGAAGCCAAGAATGTCTGCTCAGCCCTAAGATGGCCTCATTCAAGTTAAGCATACAGGCTTTTGCAATTTTGCAAGTTTTGTCTCAGAAGGCTGTCTCTAGCACAGAAATGTATCCCATAGTAGATACAGCTGACCCTCACACCGAGTTGGCTTGGGGGTCAATTCCTCCAGTGATACCAACAGCAATCAAGACTTAACTACAACAAGGCTGTACACACATTTCACAAAGGGTCAGGCACCTCTGGAGGCCAATCCACTGGTCCAGATAGGACATCAAGCACACAAAGCTTTCCTCCCAACTCAGGGAAGCAGCGAAAATGTGAAGACAAAGAAACAGATCACAAATGAAAGAAATGGAGGAAAACAAATGACTGG